CAATATCTTATTGTAGCCTTGCGGTACACGTCGACCAGTGCCGTGCGTCGCATGCCTTGATCTTGTGGGCTGGGCCACCTCTGATGGTGTGCCCCATGTCTTGTCCTATGGGTACCGGGGGTCATACCCCCACAGCTAGCGCCCGTCCAGACAGGTGTCGCGTCTAGGCGTAGCTCCCGCGCCCGGCCGCTCGCATCGCATCACACGCCCACACGTCTGCATCCTATCTAGCGCCAGTGCTCGCATCCTGGATGCGGCACCCGCGCCCATCCAGCGCCTGCATGGGGGAAACCCACGTGGGTCCCATGTCACCTGGTGCGGAGGCGTCTACCAGCCTCAAGCGCCCGCACGTGACCCACGGCGGCGCCCTAGCAGCAGCAGGCGGCTGCGGCAAGCCGCGGTTCGTCATCCAATGGCGCCATTGCAACATATGCAACATCAGATCTACTTTTGAAACATCTAGACGAAATATTTACAACATACGTCTAAAATAGATGAAACACCTAAATATGCGCTTGAAACACGAGTGTATAGCCATAACAACATATGCAACATCTAGATCAACTTTTACAACATACCGATGAATCACTTGCAACATAAGTTTAAAACATATGAAACACTTAAAACATACGCCTGAAACATGCGGTGTATAGCCATAGCAACATATGAAACATCCAGATAAAACACTTGAAACATACGTCTGAAACACTTGAAACATAGGCTTGCAACATGCGTATATTGTCACTGCAACATATGCAACATCCTATATCTACTTTTGCAACATCCAGATGAAACACTTGAAACATAAGTTTAAAATGCCTAAAACACTTGAAACACGATGTCGCCGATGGTCATGGCCTACCTGGTGGGGAACTACGGTAGCCAGCAAGATCAGTCAGGGGGATGTCGAGAGCAACGGCCCAGCATACACCGAGGCGTAGGTGGCCTCCCCTTCCTGCCGCGGTGTCTTTGACCGACCGCAGGAGACGATGTCTGGACCGACGGTGACCACCTCCTGGTGGCACCGGGGTTGTGATGGCACAGTGCACGCCGTGTCCATGATGGGTGAGGTGGATGGGGGCGCAGCGGGGGACTCCACGTGTGGCGCGGGACGGGCCGCGATGTGGCGTGAGATTGAGGTAGGCACGGCGGTGGATGGCTGTTGTGGTGAGGAAGAGTAGGGCGGGCGGACAGCGCGTCGCGGCCGCTACGGGCGAATGGCGCGGTGGACACGATCGCTACGAGTGGACGGAGCGGTGAAAGCCGCCGTGACGGTCAGGAGTGGGGAAATGTTCTAGACGATGCATAGTAGACAGATGAGTTGGGGAGGCCACAGGCCGGTACATAGGCCCAGCAAGCAAGTCCGACGGATGGATGCCCTGACCCAACATTACCACAATTTTTTTTCTCAATTTATAGTTTGTAGTAGTTTTTTTCATAGTTCACAGCTTAACCAATCAGACCCTAACTCTATCCAAAAAGATGCACATACCATTTTCCGATAAACAAACCAATCTCAAATTTAAATAAATATATAATAAAAGTTATTAATACTTATGATACCTGATTAAAATTTTATAATTGTACAACATATCTTTATAATAAACTATTTAGATATACAAGGATTTTAATGTTTATAAATCTAGTTAAAAATTGATTGACTCCTTGGAAAAGTGAGATTTACACTTTCTTTAGGATGGAAGGAGTATTAGAAAATTTCAGATTTCAACATCTTTTTCTAGGAAAAAGTGTATAGGGATGGCCACAAAGTTGGATAGAAAACCAACTTTATTTCTAATTAATTAATGATTATCATGACATAGTGCTAGTGTATATTTGTTAGCATATAATTAGTTGTTATTTTAAATAAAATATAATCAGTCAACTATTATTATTCTACCCATTCTCAACCATCATCAACCAAATAAAAAATAGCTTGTTCTATTTATCCAACCAACGCTATCAACTATTATCTCAAATTCTAATTCTAAAAAAAAGAAAAAAAATTGATGTCAAATTCTAAAAGTTCTCATAACAAATACCAAACACGCCCACTCAACCAACGTACATCAGGAAGCCATCAAAGCCGCTTTTCTCACTCGCTCACTGACACTGCGCCGCAGAACCCTCCCCTCGCCGGCCGCTCGTGCCGGCTCCCCCTCGCTAGCTCGCCACTGCCATAGCTCCGGCCACCGCAGGTCTACTCCGCGCAGCTGAGGCGATCGTCAATATCACTCCGGTGAGTCACCCTACACACCCGTGGCCATTCCGTACCCTTTTCCCCTCCGTTACTTCCTGCGGTCTGGGATGATGGATGTGGGTCGGCGGGTCGCTCGTCGCCGGTAGGCACCACCGTCACGCCGCTCCGTACGACCGTACCTTCGATTCGCTCTAGCCGGGCATTTTGGTTGGCTCCGCCTAGCACCGCATTGGGGTTGGGAAACTCTGTAATCGCGGCTGTAGAATGCTCGAAAGGACGAACTCTGTTGCCCTGAGACGAAATTGTCTGCCGTTTCTTGGATTGTTTCTGTCTAGCTGATAGTCAGTGCCTTTGTCTGAATCCTTCTTAAAGAGAGGGTGCTACTGCAGTACTACAGTCGATTATAGCGCTGCGTTTTTTTTTTTTTGGGCAAAGATCAGCTGGAATTTGTGCTAACTGGTTTAGATGAAGCTCATCACTAGCATATGCATATATGTTTTTTTTTATTGTTTGGAGATGATTGGTCACAAGTTTATTGTTTAAAAGATCTCCAAAGGGGTGGCTTCCTTTACCCAGGTGTGCATTTGTGCTACTGAACAGGGGAGGGGTGGTGATAGCAAAAACTGTAGTGATAATGACTCCCACAAGCAAACTGAAAACATTTTCTCCGGAGGGTACTTAGATGAAGCTGATGATAGTTTTCCCTGCCTCACTCGGAGACGTTGACATGTTGCTTCTTTATTTCAATTTGCTTGTCCTCATTGTATTTTAAGCTTATCTGTTGATCAAATTTAGGATCTCTGTTATCTAGTATTTTTTGGACACTGCAACTATTCCTGTTTAAATCTGTGCCTGATTACTTAATTAGCAAAGTAATGGTGAATGACTCAAAAGTTGTGCAGTAGTTTTGATCACAAACTAACTTGGATCACATCATTTTTTCCTCGGAACGGAATTCTTGCGTGACGTTCCTAACTTCTGGTGTTTCTCCGAATGTTTTTTCTTTATGAAAAGGGGGATGTAGTCGTGGTTGTAGGATGCTCAAAGGGGCTAAATTTGTTGCCTCGGAACGATATTCTTGCGTGGAGTTCCTAATTTCTGGCGTTTCTCCAAATGTTTCTGCAAGGATACAGTACCTGCAGTGTTTCTGTCTGAATCCTACTGCAGAGAGGGTGCTACCGAGGTACTCATTATAGTACTATACTGCTGTGGATTGGTGGAAATATCAGTTATATGTATAGAGGGATGGGATGCATTTTCCACTATCATTTTTGCTAACTGGAATTGTTGTATTTGACATAAGTAACTTAGATTGGAAGATCATCAGTAGCATATGTTTATCTGTATAGAGGGATGCATTTTCCACTATCATTTTTTCTAACTGGAATTGCTCTATTTGACATAAGTAGCTTAGATTGAAAGATCATCAGTAGCTTCTAGCATATGTATATATGAGTTTGTTCCTGTAACAAACTCTTCTCTATTCTATGAAATGGGCACAATCTCTTGCCAATTCGTTTAAAAATTAAAAAGAGGAAGCTTCCTTTTTTTCCAGGTGTGAATTTGTGTGATTGAACAGGGACAGTGATTGCAAAACAGTGGTGATGAGTTCCACATGTGAACTGAAAGCTTTTTTCTGGGGAGTACTTAGATAAAGCTGATAATAGTTCTGCTTCTCTCATTTGAGATACTGACATATTGCTTCTGTATTTTCAATTTGTCCTCTTTGTCTTCTATGCCTATATAATATATAGTGATCAAATTTAGGATCTTCTTTGTTGAGATTGGTTTATATGTACTTTTTTAGCTTTTGCAGGCCTATTCTTTACCTTGTAATGCAACTATTCGTGTTTGAATGTCTTCTAGGATGCCTGATTACTTGATTAGCAAAGAACTAGTAATGGCTCAAATGTACTGTGTAGGTAGTTCTAGTCACAAACAAACTTGGACCACATCCTCATGAGAAATAATAAGTTGTGACGGCACTTGTAGATTGTCAGTATGCACTTGTGATACCTAGAGTCCGACACCTGAATTGCTTATCATACGCTATTGCAGTATTTCATAGGTCTGTTGTATCATGTTAAACTCTGCCATTAGTGAACTTTGAATTTACTTGATCATAATAAATTATATTCATCTATCCTGAATTCTTGATGCACAGATATCGTTAAGTTAACTTGCGTCCACACTAACATCATACTTGTTGTGTTGTTGACAAAACATTGCAATTGTTTGGCCTGTTAATATTTTGCCAGAACACATTTCCCTTTCTGTCACTAACATATCAGATCCTCTGTATATGTGTAGGACCTGATGCAGACAAAATTTCTGTCCGTGTAATTGTTGACAATCAATCTTGTGATCATTGTCCCAGCAACTTTGACAACCCAGAGGAAGGAAATTCAACACATAACGACTATCAGAAAATTTACAGGAACAGATTTCGGATATTTCTACCCAGAGTTAAGTTGGCAATTCTATGATTTCCTGCAGTTGTCCTGATATCTTTGATTTCAAGACCTACAGGGATGCCAATCGGTTTGCAGTTGGTCAGATATGGCCCCTTTACGATAAGCATGATTCCATGCCAAGACTTTATGCTAAAATAATGCATTCTGATGCTCACAACCACAAGATACATTTGACTTGGCTGTAGCATGATGCAACAAATAAAGAAGAGGAGAAATGGACTGATAAAAAACTGCCTGTTGCTTGTGGAACCTTCCGCTTACAGCCAACACTAGATACATCGCAAGGCAGATTCATGTTTTCTCACATTGTTGCATGGACAAAGGGTATGAAAGGAAACTCTTATGATATCATTCCTAACAAGAGTGAGGTATGGGCACTTTACAAGGGATGGAGCATGCAATGGAGCTCAGATACAGATAACCATAGATCCTATGAGTATGAGGTTGTGGAAGTCCTGTCTACTATGTCAGCTGATGATGGTGCCACAGTTATCCCACTGGTTAAGATTAAGGGTTTTGTCAGTTTACTTGCGAGAGCTAAGGGCATGTCCTCATTTTTTATACCATCAAGTGAGATACTTAGGTTTTCTCACAGCATTTCCTTTTATAGGACAAATGGAAATGAGAAAATGGGTGTCCCAAGAGGCTTTCTGGAACTTGACACAGCATGTCTCCCATCAGACCTGGATGCAGCATTTTCTTCTGTCACTCTTGTGTCTTACATGTTTCTCGGCAACATGACAGACTGTGTGTTCGCTGATTTGACCACTGAGAGTGAAGATAATAAAATGGATTGTGGAGACGAGCTGATTGTTCGAAAGGAGAATTCCTTAGAACAAAATGTTTGCCACTCAATTTCTGCAGATGACACCGATGATATTTCTTCTGAACAAAATACATCAACGCAGAAAAATGACCATGGTGCCAATGAATCTGGTGATTCCTCTCAGCAAAACTGCGTGCCCCCTAATAGTTATTCATATCCTGATCCTGAGTTCCATGATTTCGAGGAAGACCGCTCGCTCAAGAAGTTCAAACACGGACAAATATGGGCTATCTTTGCGTTCAAAAAAAATATGGGCTATCTACAGTGATGCTGATAAATTCCCCAATCTCTATGCCTGGATAAGAAAAGTCGACCCAGAACCTTTCAAGGTGCATTTGACCTGGCTTGAGGCTTGCCCTCAGTCAGAGCAAGAGAATCGGTGGTTGGAGCAGGACCTATCTATCAGCTGTGGTACATTTGAAGTTCGGAACTGGAGAACTGAGTATGATACATCTAGTTATTTCTCACATTTAGTAGATGCCAGACCAACTGGAATGAAGTGGCAGTTTGAGGTTCTTCCACAAGTTGGCCAGATCTGGGCCACTTACATGAACTGGGCAGCGGGCTTGGTTCCACCCAGTGACGGTGCTTGTGAATACGTGATAGGCGAGATCATCGAGCGCACCGAAGATGGGACAAAGCTTACTGTCATCACTCAAGTTGGTGGCTACAGGTGTGTGTTTAAACCTGACAATACAAAGGGAGTCCTGGAGATACCTGCTGGAGAGAACTTGAGGTTCTCCCACCGCATACCGTCGTTCCGCCTGACCGAAGAAAAGGGTGGCACCCTCCGGGGCTTCTACGAGCTTGATCCAGCTTCTCTCCCTGATGTCTTCCTTTACAGGGATACCTAACGTACGTGTCTACTCTTTGGAAACTAACGCCTAGCTGACTCAGAGTCAGTAGAATTGGAACTGCATCTCACATTCTCACTGTAGGATTATTGTGTCTTGATATGTTCTACTATCGAAACCTTTCTGTGTACATATGTTCCAGTCAGTTTAGTCTTACTGAATGCTAGAAGAGAACCATGCCAACATGTTAATTGGAGGGCTTCCTTGCTCTTCAATCGGCACTGTGTAATTAAGGGCAGGCCCTACATTCACTGGTACTTTTGTGTTAACGCACTGCTGTTTGCATCATTAATTACTCTTTACCAGACACCTCACTTGTATTATGTGCTCAAAGACTAAACTGAAGTCGTCTCAGGTACTGTTGTTGGACTGCAGTACCTTACCAATGTACTGTTGTTTCATCGTTCAATGGAACTGTGATCTGGGCATTTGATTTGGCTTGCACATGCATCTGAAGTCAGCACAAACCTTACCATCGATCCTTCAAGTTCGCTGTTACAGGGACAGGGTGTTCTGGAAGCATTTTCTGGAGAGAAATCGAGGTTCTCCCACCTCATAGCCTCTTTCCACCTGCTGAAGAAAGGGGTGGGAACACCCTCATCCGGTGAATTGTGATAGTCGTAGCAGACTCTCGGAATAGTAGAACTGAACTCTTTAGGATTATTACTGTGTCTTGATATGTCAGCTTAATGTAGAGGCATCCTGTCAACTGCTATTCTGTAATAACCAAGGGCAGGTCCTGTAGGCAGCTTAATTGTGTCGGTTTGTCTGTTTATTACCAGGCCTTCTCTTATGTCCTATGTGCTGAATGATTAACCTTGAACTAATTGAAAGGAACTGAGACTTGGAAGAAGAAATTTGAGCTAACTGAAATAGTCTCAGGTTGTTACCCCGCCCCTGTTCCTGTTCCCGTTGCCAATGCACGCCCTTTCCCCTTCCTTTCTTGGTGAATCGTTGAGATGAAGATTTTCTTTTTTATTATTATTATTAGTGGTGAATCTTTATTGAAGAGTTAGTGCTGCCAGAGGGCAGCTTGGCCAACAGACCGCTTGGATTGTATTGATTTGCAATAACAACTTAGTACAAGAAGATGCTAACCACTGCATATATAAGCAAGTGATGTACCTACTCCTTAGCATATTCTAACTGCATAAAGCAGATGCTATGATTCCTACTTGGTTGCTAAGGCACTATGATCAACTTGGTTGCCAAGGAACCTGAAAATTACATAACAGTGAATAGTAAAAAACAAAAGTAGGTAACTGGAAAGTATAAACACTAGGCTAACTACTGACAATTCTCCCCTTTAGCCTTGTGGTCCTTGGAGGTGATCTGCTTGAGCCCAATTCTTCCCCTCATCTCTTCAAATTTTGATCTTCCAAGAGACTTGGTTAGAATGTCAGCCAGCTGATCAGTGGTGGATATGTGATCAGCCCTGATACTTCCATCTTTCAAGCAGTTTCTGATGAAGTGATACTTGATTCTGATGTGCTTACTGCGCTCATGAAAGACTGGATTCTTGGCTAGAGCAAGTGCAGACTTGCTATCAACTTTCAGTTCAACTACTTCCTCATTCCTTCCAAGGAGGTCTGCCAACAGCCTAGATAGCCAAATTGCTTGTTTTGCAGCTGTGGTAGTGGCAATGTACTCAGCTTCACAACTAGATAGAGCCACCACCTTCTGCTTCACTGACTGCCATCACACAAGATTGCTTCCTAGAAAGAACAGGGTGCCACTAGTGCTCTTGCTGGTGTCAATGTCCCCAGCCAAGTCACTGTCGCAGTACCCAACAAACCTTGCTCTCCCTGGAGCCTTAGTGTAGTGTAGGCCAAGCTCCAGAGTACCAGCCACATATCTCAGGATGCGCTTGATGGCTGCTTGGTGTTCTGCAGTCGGCCTCTCCATGAATCGACTGACAAAGCCTACTGAGAAGGCTAAGTTAGGTCTTGTGTGGACCAAGTAGCGCAAGCTGCCCACCAATCTTCTGTATTGGGTAGGATCAACCTCTGCAGCCGCGCTCTACCTGCTCAACCTCAGTCGCTCCTCCATTGGTGTATGGGCGGGGTTGCAGGCATCCATACCTCCCAGCTCAAGGATCCTCTTGGCATAATGGGTTTGCCTCAGAGTGATCCCAGCTGAATCTTGGTGTACTTCGACCCCCAGGTAGAAGGACAGGAGGCCGAGGTCGCTCATGTCGAAAACCTTCTTCATCTGAGTCTTGAAACCTTCTATGGCTTGAGCGCTGGCACCGGTGATGATCAAGTCGTCAACATAGACGCCGATCAGCAGCAGCTCCTCCCCTGTTCCTCGCCTGTACATCGCGGCTTCATGGTCGCTTTGCTGGAAACCCATCTCCTTGAGGGTGGCGTCCAGCTTGGCGTTCCAAGCTCACGGAGCCTGCCGTAGGCCATACAAAGCCTTGCATAGATGGTACACCATCTTCTCCTTCCCGGTGACGGTGAAGCCAGGCAGCTGCTTCACGTACACCTCCTCCTTGAGGTTGCCGTTGAGGAAGGCCGATTTGACGTCCATATGGTGGACGTGCCATCCTTCTTGGGCCGCCAGCGCGAGGAGGACTCGGACGGATTCCATGCGCGCCACGGGAGCAAACGCGTCGTTGAAGTCGATCCCTTCCTGCTGGACGAAGCCCCGCGCCACCAAGCGCGCCTTGTACTTGGTCACCGCACCCCGCTTGTCCTTCTTGAGCTTGTAGACCCACTTCAGAGTGATGGGCCGGTGATCAGGAGGAAGCTCCATAAGCTCCCAAGTGCGGTTCTGCTCAACTGCCTTGATCTCCTGCTCCATGGCGGCCTGCCAGGTAGGATCGCCTTCAGCCTCCGCGAAGTTGGCCGGCTCACTGGCGTGCGTGAGGTGAAGCTCGGCGAAGAGACGTGAAGCCAGCAGTGGTGTGGGTGCGTCCCCGATGATGTTGGGCATGGTACGGTACCACAGCTGATCGCCGTCGTAGGAAGCGTCAAGGCGATCGTCGTCGTCCTCGAGCGGTGACGTGAACTCAACTGGGTCCGCCTGCTCGGTCTCTGCTGCTGGTGAAGCAGAGGAGGCTGGTGAAGCAGAGGAGGCTTGTGGATCGTGCTCCCCTGGAGCTGGTGACGGCACGCGCGGCGGAGCTCCGTCTGCGTCGACTCCCCAGAACTCGATGTCGAAGTCGCTGGAGGCGGAAGCAGACGTCCCGGCGGCCGAATTGGACCAATCCCAGCCATGCCCTTCATCAAACACCACGTCGCGGCTCACCTTGACGTGTCCCGTCGCCGGATCGAGGACCCGGTAGGCCTTGGCGCCCTCGGCGTAGCCGATGAAGACCCCAGCCTTGCCGCGGTCGTCGAGCTTGTGCAGCTGCCCGAGCTCCCTTGTGTAGGCGATGCAGCCGAATGTACGCAGGTAGCTCACCACCGGCACTCGTCCATGCCAGGCCTCATAGGGGGTCTTGCCTTGCAAGCTTCTTGTCGGCGCGCGGTAGAGCAGATGCACCGCCATCATCACCGCCTCCCCCCAGAATTTGGCTGGCATGGACCTCTGCTTTAGGAGCGCGCGTGCGGTCACCGCGACCGTCTAATTGCGCCGTTCCACCACACCGTTCTGCTGCGGTGAATGTGTTGCAGAGTAGTGCCGCTTGACTCCTTCGACGGCGAAGTACTGCGCCAGCTCACCGACGGTGAACTCTCCTCCATTGTCAGTCCGCAGCACCTTGAGCTCACGGCCAGTCTCCTTCTCTGCTTCGGCCTTCACCCACTTCACGGCATCCGCAGCAGCATCCTTGGTCGGCAGAAGCACCGCCCACATGAAGCGGGTGGCGTCGTCCACCATCAGCAAGAAGTAGCGGCGCCCTCCTGGCGTCGCCGGCGTCACCGGCCCGCACAAGTCGCTGTGGACGAGGTCCAGGGGCGCCTACGCGCGGTACTGCGCCTGCTGTGAAAACGGCTTGCGGCGGAGCTTGGTGGTGACGCAGGTGTCACAGACTTCCTCCGCAAGCTTGATCATCGTCATCCTCCTCACCATCTCCTTCTTGCCGAGCTGGTGCAGCGCCTCGAAGCTGAGATGCTCGTAGCGCTCATGCCACCTCCATGACTCGTCCTCCTTCCTGGCGGCAAGACACACCGTGCGCGGCCTCCAAGTGTAGGATGTACAGCCGACTGGGCCCGCGATGTACCTTGGCGAGAAGATGACCACGCCGGTCCCAAATACGGAGCACTCCATGATCAATCTCCACCCTGGAGCCTCCTTCGTCGAGCTGCCCCAAACTCATAATCGAATTCCAGAGCGCTGGGATGTAGAAAACGCCATGGAGGACGCGCTGCTCCCCATTCTTGGCCTGGAAGACGATGGAGCCGGTCCCCTTGATCTCCACTCGAGACGAGTCGTCGAAATGCACCGTGCCACGCGCCGTGGTGTCGAGCTCGACGAAGAGCTCTCGGTGGCCGGTCATGTGATGCGTGGCCCTGCTGTCGAGGTACCATCCGTTGAGCGCCTTCTCGTTGGCGTTGGTGTTGAGGAAGACGCGCGCGCGCGACTCGTTGATGTCAAGGGAGGCCATGGCCTTGGAGCAGACGGCTTCGTCCTTCTCGTTGAGCTCGAGAAAGCCGTGGGCGAGAAACAGAGCACCATCATCGTCCTCTGCTTCTGCGACATGCGCAGCACTGCCATGCCCTCCACCGCGCCATCCACCTCGATCACCTCCAACGCGGTTGCCTCCTCCGCGTTGGTTGCCACCGCCGCCGCCGCGGTCACCACCACCATGGCGCGGCTGGCGGCAGTCGCGCGCCCAGTGGCCACGATCGCCACAGTTGAGGCAGGTGTCGTCGTCCGCCCCACGATCGTCGCCACCGCCTCTGTCTCCTCCTCCGCGATTGCTCGTCCCGCGCTGCTTCTTGCCACCGCGTGGACGACGTCGCGGTTCCTTGCCTGACGTGGAAGCGGCAGCCTCCTCCTTCTCCTTGGCACGCCACTGCTCCCTTGTCAGCAGCAGACCACCGATGGCGGCC